AGGAGCCCGCTTCAGTAAACTATTGGAACTGAGGAGCTCCTCCAAATCTGTGCGGATGCCTTTAAGCGCAAAGCTCGGGTTATTTTGATAGAAAACTCACCCTAGAATCATGTTGAAGTAATCAGTAATCATTTGGCAGGACCGTATAAGTGCAGTCACACGACTAGAGCTGATTTCGTCACCATGGGAAACTGTCAACTTGTCTCCAGCCCACTCCAGCTCCATGTCAAAAGTAGAGAGAAACTATAAAAATAACTATTCATTTGCATAATTGAACTGCCAAAAGCCTAAAATCATACCTCATGAAGGATCACGTCAATAGGATACGCAGCAGGTAGTTTAGCCAAGAGCCTTCGCTGCAAAACAGCATCCTGATCTTTCTTGAGTATTTCACGAAGAGACTTTGGCAGGTTTGCATAGTGCTGCAATAAAATTTGGAGATAAAAAGTAATACCGATGCTTCTTAACTAGAGTGACTCACATAATCAACAGATTTAGCTTCTTCTGATAAACTTGAAGCGGTAAGTTTGGGAGCCTTGACTATACTTCTTACATATTTTGGTACAAGAAAAACACCATGCAATACATACCTACACGACGAGGAGCCACAACAGGACTGGTAGAAGCAACGCTTTCACCGGATACAGTATCCTAAAGAGGAATTTGCTTCAAACGCACATCTTTATTGAAATGCGAGAAAAATGGAAAAGTATGAAGATAATAATATGATTAAAATGAACAAAATATAACAACAATATATTTATGAGACACTTACAGCATTCGCTTTAGAAGACTTCCGTTTCATTTCAATTTTCGCGCTCTCTAGTTCAGCCTGAAAGTGCTTTTTATGCAAGGCAGTAGATTACACTACTAAAAAAATGAAAAACTGATATTAAAATAAGTTCATAACTCCACTGTTTGAGTTGTACTTCTGTAAATTTTGCTTAATTCAACTAAAAACCGTGAAAGTTAACCAGAAACAGAGGCGAATATGTTGTACCTTGGCTCTCGCGACATTTTCCTCTGTGTAAGGAAGGAACAACTGGTCAGTCATGCTTTCCCTGATGGCAACATCATGTCTTTTGTGCCAACCCTAGAAAATAGAAAAAGTGCTACATGCTATGTATTCAGGAGAAAAAATTATCCAAATGATGCAACCGACCTGATAATGTACTGTGAAAATTCGTTCGCCATCTTGGACAGCGACGCTTATAATTTTTCCTTCATAATAAATACCTTTGTAGTTGCAAAGAATTCTATCGTTCAAATCATAAGACGGTTTCTGTGGCATCTGCAATTCTGAACTGCTGCTTATGGTCACAACAATATCCAATTCCAGATTCACAACACGAACAAACAAAAAACAATGCACACAACTAGGAAAAGTCAGAGCGACAACAAATCCGAACGTCAAAAATGCGTTTGCCCGGAAACGCACGGAGCACACGCAAGTTGACGCCTAATATTTGAAATTTTGATTTCCATGTTTTATGTTTTGTGCTTTTCAAAAATGTATGATCCGAAATCGTGTGGAGGCGAGTTGCGGACTTTCCCTGATGGATAGGGTTAATGAAAGAGTACGAAGACGATTGCTGCACGTGGAGGTTTCACA